TAAAAATCCATCTTAATGATGAAAGCACCATTTAGGATCCGCTCTAGAACTGCACTTGTTCATTTATTTATGAGACACTACTTTCTGTAGACAAAGAAAGTGTCTTCCAAAAATAGGAGTGTCATATTTTCAAGGCATATTGTATATTTTATTTTTGTAACTAGTAAATGTCAAACAGTATTCATACACGGTATTGATGCATTAATGTTTTCATTCAACAGTGAAGATACCTTTCCTTGTTACATTATATATTTATGACACACAGCGCTGTCAAATAAATCATGTCATAGCAGCTGAAATCAGACCTTGTGACACCTGTATCATAGAATCAGGGCAAATAACCTTTAAAATGAAAGACATATGATGAGAACTAGAAACATTTAATTTGCATAAATGTAATGTTAACAGTCTTTTCCTTATTACATATTTTATGCCTCATTTATAATTGTCACTTTATTCCTTTCTTAACATCAGCTTACACTCTGTTTTTTGTCCTCATTGCTCACTTTGTTTTGGAACATGTGGAACACAAATTCTGTGAGAAGAATAGGCTTGAATCCCCATTTTAACATACTTTGATAAGGACATCTTAAATTTTGCGGAAAACTCTTCATTCATGTAACATACTATCTTTAGAATTAATTCCTATAACCAGCTAAAAATTGCTAAATGTATCAAGAAAATACAACATGCATGAATATATTGGGCCATCTCTTGAAAACTAGCTTGTATTGGTGTTTTCCTATGAAATGCTGAATACACCAAGGTGTGCAAAACTGAAGCATGGGTTTTCATAAGCTAGATGTTTCATACATTTTGAATTTAGGAATGTAAAAACTGAGCATCTAAGTGTACATATAGGAATTGAAGTGAATGGTCTGATTCTTAGAATTGCTTGCTACTCAGAGTAGTAAACCCGTTGGTTTCCTTAGTTCTTCCCTTATTGCTAACACTGCACAAGCTTATCTATGTAAGAACAGTTAATAAATTTTGCATTACTCTGTAAACTCCCTAGGGATGTTCAGGTAAATAAGGCTGGAAGGTACAAAGATGAATGTCTACCTCAGGAGGGCACAATCACTAAACCCCTTATTCTTACTGGCTGTACTTTACTATAGGGATCGTGAGATCAGGGCCTGAACCATTGTAAGGAGACAGACTTTGTGCAGTCTCTTCGCTGTCCCTGTAGGCTGAGTTTGGCTCGCTTCGACCTTCTGAATCAGAAGAATAAATATGGCCAGTTCTGTTCTATTCTGTAACATTCAATTATTTTATAATAACAGTAGTTGAACTAGATGGCCATTGTAGGTCACTTTCAACTGTACTGTAGTAATCTATTCTATTCTATTCTATTCTATTCTATTCTATTCTATTCTATTCTATTCTATTCTATTCTATTCTATTCTATTCTATTCTATTCTATTCTGTTCTATTCTAGAAGGTGTAGGGTGTTTCCTTAAATATTCGCGAAACAATTGAGTAGTTGTTTGTCAGTTGACCCTGCAAGTGAAGCAAACACACCACCACCAGAGATTTGTAGAGGGCAACTTGGGCAAGACACTAAGCAATGCCCAGCCCACTGTCAGAGTGATGGGTGACTTCCTGACAGTCAGTCACTGGTGCATGAGATCTGGTGGCAGGTCATCTTGGTCACTTGAAGACTGGCAACGTGTATTCACTAGTTTTAGTAAACGTCAATAGCACAGAGGGGTGGTGACGGAGAAACAGAAATTGGTAAAAATTTAAAAAAAAAGAAAAAAAGACCCTCTCACCGTTAATTATGGTTCTGTAAAGCAGTTCTGGTCTGATGACACTTAAACTTAGCACAGGGATTTTAGAAGCTCTTGAAAGGACAGTTGTGTTCCTGGGTCTCTTGAACACTCCATTCTGCTGAGAAACAACTATCTTAATTGGTGCGACTTACCAGAAAGGGAATCTAATTAAAAATGTATATTCTCAGAAATGGAAAGAGATTTAGGGTAATTATATAAGGTAAAATATATTACAGGAATATTACAAGTATCCCAAAGCCCAGTGTTGGAAGGCCAGGAAATATACAGTTATTATTAAATGTTTTAGCAGAAGAAATATATTTCATCCTTGATTCTGCCCTGAGAGACAATCAAGCAGTAAGACTTTGAATTTGAAGTCTTATACTGATGAAAAGCTTTTTTAAATTACAATGAAGGACTTTGCGCTAATGGGTGATAACTTGTGATTGTCCCCATGTGCTGGCAATGGTGAGGTTGCACCTCGAATCCTGGGTTCAGTTTTGGGCCCCTCACTGCAAGAAAGACATTGAGGGGCTGGAGCGTGTCCAGAGAAGGGAATGGAGCTGGGGAAGGGTCTGGAGCACAAGTGCTGTGAGGAGCAGCTGAGGGAACTGGGGGTGTTCAGCCTGGAGAAGAGGAGGCTCAGGGGAGACCTGATCGCTCTCTACAACCTCCTGAAAGGAGGGTGCAGAGTGGTGGGGGTTGGCCTCTCAAATAACAAGTGATAGAGCATGAAGAAATAGCCTCAAGTTGTGCCAGGGTAGGTTTAGATTGGATATTAGGAAAAATTTCTTCACTGAAAAGGTTATCAGGAATCTGCACGGGCTACCCAGACAGATGGTTGAGTCACCATCCCTGGAGGTATTTAAGAGACCTGTAGATGTGGTGCTCAGGCACATGGTTTAGTGGTGGAGTTTGCAGTGCTGGGTTAATGGTTGGACTTGATGATCTTAAAAGACCTTTTCTGACATAAAAGAGTCTATGATTCCATATGCCCATCTCAAAACAGCCATTTAGCTGGAGAAAAGTTATTTGTATCGAAAGCAGCCAAAAGTGGAAGCCATTTTGATTAGCACTACAACATTTTTAATTTGATGCAGAATGCAAGATCTTATCAAGCACTAACACTGCAAAGAATTTTAAAATTTCAAATAATCTGTGTTGTTCCATTTACAAGATCATTCAGAACAAAACTGAAAGTCTCCTGGTAGATGATATCTTTGCTAAAGACCCTATTTTTAACAATTTCATTAATCAACTTTTCTGTAAAATTTCAGAAAAAAAACCCCACAAACATTTAGCTGTTGGAAAATAAATACTGAACTTGGTAGAAAAGATAACATTTATTCATTTATTCAGTTTGCGGTTGAGATTTCCATTCAGTTGTGACATACACTTGATGTTTCTACAAATAAAGTACAATGTAAATAGTTCCTGAAGTGTTAATAAGTTACTAAAACTGCTTGATTAATTTATTAATCAAATGTTACAGACTGTTGGAGTCTGAAGAAGTAACGAGTCATCTGCAGTCAACTACAGCATCTGAAAAGAATGCACCTGGGACAACGCACAGAACTTATTTCTCCTGTGTTAAACAAGCTTCTCACAGTTACTAATCAACCCTTTGCATAGTATTCATGAAAGCAATCTCATCAGAACATGTACAGAACACTTCTAGGCACCTGTGAGACAAAGTGGGGAATAACTCCAGGAGTCACCTATAACTGAAAGGGAAAAAACCACTGTGGTTCTCTCCCATTGTCTTCTAGTTGTGCAGAATCACCAAGACCAGAAAAAAAGCCTGTTGATGCCTTAACACAGGTATGTAGAGACATGAAAATCTCTCTGTGAGCCACCTTACCTACTGCAGGCAGATGCGTTGGGCAGAGAGCAAGGAGAGTCCAGACAAAAATATGCATGTGACTCCTGCTGGAAACAGGATGCTTAGCATTGGATTTTGCCTATACACTCCAGCTGCACAAAGCACCCTCGTCATTCTCTCCCCTCTGTAGTGCTAAGATGGCTATTATGGCTGTGCCATACTCATTTACCTTTCAGCTTCCATAATTTTTGAAGTCATCAAGGAAAAATTCTACTCCTCATCCTTTCTAATTTTTGACTGGTTTTTGTTCAACTCTTTCCTGTTACGTCTAGTGTTGGTGTATGGCAACAAGGACAAGAGGAAAAAAGTCATACATGTTGCCACATAACACTATACTGATATGATAGCATAATCTAATGATTGATGACAATATACAATTTCAAGCCAAATACTCAACCCACAAATTCCTCTCTCCCATTTGCATGCTCACACACAGTCCTGCACGCCAGAACTGGGACTGAAATGTGGTGTACACTGTATGTGTCTCTCCACTGTCATCACTCAGCTGCCACAGCTGAAGATTTCAACACCAAACAAGTCACAGCTCAGATTGGAAATGCAGACTACCCTATGCTGGAAACAAAGACAAGTTTTGGAAAAATATTACCAGTTTTTCCTCTTCAATCTGAGCTAAAGAATACCCTTGGCTTTGAAAATGTAGCAAACCATATTAATGACTCATGAAAACTACTAGAGGGGGAGACAATCCAGTGCACTTAGCCAACATACATCTGTCTTTTCTGAATATACAGTGCTCCCACTGACCTTGGCAGGCATTAAAAAGCATACAAAATGAAGTATGAAAAATGGAAGAATATGATAACTCTGATAAGATGCTGTTACTGCAAATGGCTGTCTTCAACAGAAAAAAAGGGATACCTAATGCCATTAGAAAGAGACTGCACTGGTATATGTCTTCCTGCATACACTGTAATAATTACAACACACTGGTTTTAAGAATTCATAATGTCTCATTATTCCATGCACAAAACTACAGATGTATATTACAACTACTGTTACAATAGAAGATATCTAAAAGAATACACCTCACTGGTAAACACAGTCAGTACCTCGTGTCTGCTTCCTAATAATTTGTACCTAAATGTATAAAAAATATTATATAAAACCACTATAGAACATTTGTATAAACATTCTCTGAGTGATGGCAGCTGAAAGTTTTTTTTTTTTTCTGAAAGGCAGATCTGTCATTACTGAATGCAGTAAATATATATGGCATACAAAAGATCATCTATGAGATCCCCTGGAGGAAAAAGCTAAGGAGAAACCATGGTGTAGTTCATTCTGAATATGGGCAGATCAAACTGGCCATATTCAATGCGTCAACATCACACTTCACTCTGTTCACTGAACTTGCTGTAATTCTAAATGGGAGAAACAGAAACAATATATTACAATGTTTTCCTAGAATACCATGTAAAATTTGCAGATGAAGCAGTGCTAGTTTGAAAATAGCACCGTTATAAAGACTATAAGTCAAAAAGCTATTTATGATGAGGATGAACTGCAACAGATAAGTCTCATTGATTTATCAGTTATCCTTGGAGGATGTAGATAAGGGCATCTTTACATTTCTCAACAGTAGGAGAGATGAAAAGGAACCATGAAGCCCTCTTGCCTCTACCATTTTGTCAGCGAAAGACTATTTCCTGCTGGGAGGGGAAGCTGAAATGCAAATCAAAAAGAATCACTTTCCATAAATGTCCAACTCCTTCCTCCTGTCCTGTCCTATCCTATCTTATCCTATCCTATCCCAACCCATCCTATCCGCACCCCATCCTATCCTACCCTGCCATTTGTCCTTCATGTAAAAGCTCAAAAAAAGCTGCCCTCAGCATCATAAAAAGGCACAGGAAGAGACTGTGTTCATTACAGTGTGGTGCTGCTATTGCTACCATGCTGCCTTTTTACTCTTGTCCATCTTCTCTTATCTTCAAGTGTTAAACACAAGGAACCAAAAAAAACCCAAGTCACATACTTTGAAGAGGCATCAGCAGCCTATATAGGCTGTTTATAGCTACATTGAAACTTTGAGGCTGCGTACAAACCTTCTGGGCTAATCTAGCACGCCACTATTCAGAATTCTGATTTGTTTAGCAGCTCTGATAGAAACATGGGATCATTTCCTAGAAAAGTGGGCTTCTGAGCTCTAACTCCTTCTTTTCACTTTGGACCTTTGTCCTAGTCTTTCCATGTCCCATTTCCATAAAATTGGAATGTTAGAACATGTCTATCTTACAAGAATGTTAGGAAGGTTAATTAATGTCTATAAAGAATGCAGACATTTTATAACACAACAATCATCCTAATTCATCTAATCAAACCCAGACAAAATATCCAATAGTCATTCCCATTATTTTTGCCCTGCAGTTACCATTTAGTAATTTTTTCTTTTTTTCTTTCAGGGAAACAAAATGAAAAATGTTGAAAAGCTCTGAAGAGAACATGTTTTTCTGGTCAATTCACTAGACCAACTGTGTCGACTCAACTTATCAAGGTAAATCGATGGAAAGTGATTTTGTCCACAGGCAACTCTAATTTAATTAGTAAAATATAAAGTGGAGGGGGAAAAAAAAACCAAAACCAAACCAAAACAACCAAACAAACAAAAAAATGGACCATGATGAGTTTAATGTATCTTGGAGAAGACTCCAAGCCAAGCTCTAGTCATGTTCGGAATCATAAATAAAACCATGGGAAAGCACACCACTTGTAATGCATGCTCTGTTATGCTGGGATTGCAATGGAAAAGGCTCACATGGTTTATGAGGAAAGCCCAAGTTTACAGCCTTTTAACAAGGAATGCAAGAATTATTATTGAACGAGTAAATACACGTTCAAGCAAATGCATGTTCAAACCTCAATTTCTGAGCCAAGCCTTCCTTCTCCCCCTAGCTTTCTCTTCTACCTCATGCAATGCCTCTCCCTTCTTTCTACCAGTGAGCCAACAGAGCATGCTACAAAGAGTAGAGACAAGCTTATTAGCTGGAAAAAAACATGATAAGGATCCAGAGCTTTTTGGCCAGAACAGTGTGGTGCTGCGTGAAGTAGCTTTAAGCAACCCAGGCTTAGGAACTGAGTGTTGTTTCAGTAATGCAGAACTAGGTGCCAGTTAATTTGCCTCTCCAAGAAGCTATGCTAGGTGTGTCTACATGACATTATGCTTTCCAGGGGAGAACGCATCCAGATTAACGCACCTCAGCACAGTGGCTCTGGATCTAGCACAGAAGACTCTGAAGTTGCTGATAAAGGAGAGAAGGTGATTGGAAGAGAGTGCTAGCAGGAAAACCTTGATAACTGCTGACCAGAGGCTGAGGACTGGTTGTAGAGCATGGACAGATAACAGATTTCAGCACAAAACGTTCACTGTGTAGCTAAGATTTCCCCAGACTTTAACAACTTGCTGTCAGCCTCCAAGGGGCCCTCCAGATTTCACCTACCCCTGCTGTAAGCCTCACCCTGTGAATCTGGATGGCATCGATTGCCGAAGAAATAGATTCGAAGAAGACAGGGCTCTCTGACTCAAGATTTCCACCGTATTGCATTGCTTTTATCAAGGAAGCTGCAATAAAACAAACACATGAGCACTGATAAGGTAGTGACGATACAGAAACACCATGTTAAAGATTTTGCTGCAAGCTGATACTTGCCTTTGCAGTGTGCTAGCAACACATCGATGTGTCTGCTTTTACAGTCCATGTAAACCTGTATGTGTGAAAACATGAAATAAAAAAAAAGAAAAAACTGTTTAAAATACCGACAGAGAATAAAATACACAAAAAGAACATGTTCAAAGCGGGCAGAGAGCATGAAGTGCTGCTGTTGAAGCTATACTGCCAGCAGCCACCAGAGAGAGCCCTTCTATAATACAAACACCACAAACCCACACAAATTCCGCTCCCCGACCCACATCACACCCTCCCCTCCCGCCTCAGAATGCCTGAGGATTAAATCTGAATTTGATTAATAATTTTGCATGGTTTACTGTATTTTGTAGGAGTTCATTTTTCTCAAGTTCTCCTTTTTCAGCGAGTTTCCCCATCGCCTCACTACATGCTTACCTACCAGCCCACAAAGGTGTGAATAGGGGCTAAGGAAACTTGGAGACTTCCAGTAGTTTATCAGAAAAGCGCCATAACCATCATGCTACATTCTGCAGTAAGTTGGTTTTTATTCTCTCTTTGAAAATGTTAAACTCCACATAAACAAATACTGAGTAGTCCAGAAATTAAAAATAGTGCAAATAACCCTATATCCAAAGTAGGGCCTTTTTTCTGGAAGATGAGGAACACCCAAAGCAGTCCCTGCTTCAAAAGAATCCATGTAAAGTGGAACAATAGCCTATTATTAAAACTACACCAAAAGCCTGACTCAGTCTAAAAATCCCCACAACTCTCGCAGCAGTGATGATAGTTTGGGAAGTAGTGTAACAACAAGGACACATTGAGCGTGTTCCTCCTCCAGGTTACTCAGTTTGGGACCAGTCATTCACCCAGAGGCGGCACTCCCAACCTGTGCACTTCATAGCCGATGATGGGCTCACCTCTCACAAATTTGTCAAACACATCTTTAATATAATTTGTAGTTCTGAGATCTCAAGGATCTTTTGGAAATCAGTTTCACAATTATTTTTTTAAATTAATGCTTTAGATTTTACTATATATATATTTTTGACAAATATGTATTTTAATGCCCTATATTTTAAGGGGACACATAATGAAAAGGAACTCCCACTAGCCTTATTTTTCCAGTTTTCTTTTTGACTATATCCCCATCTATATATGTAGTTTTAATTTAACATTTTTAAGGCAGCACTTACTTCACTGCTTAATCATTGCAGTAAATTGAGAAAATGCTCAAGATACGAAAAGGCCTGGGCTGAGACCCAAGCTCAAATCTAGTCTGCTATCTTATTCAGAAAAATATGAACAAAACTTTGCATACCCATTTAAATCTGTACCCACTACACAACTATTAAATGCTAGACCTAATGGAAAGATAAGAAATAGCTTTTAGACATAATTCTTGGTGAGGCACTGGAACAGGTTGCCCAGAGATGTTGTGGATGCCCCATCCCTGGATGTCTTCAAGGCCAGGCTGGATGAGGCTTTGAGCAACCTGGTCTAGTGGAAGGTGTCCCTGCCCATGGCAGGGGGGTTGGAACTAGATGATCTTTAAAGGTCCCTTCCAACCCTAACCATTCTATGATTCTATGATGATTCTTTATCCACGAAGTAGAACTGCTCATTATGTGGTTACTGGTTTTAGTCTTCTGGAAGCTTCTTGGAGCCCCTGCAATGCCTGAGGAACCCAGCCTGCTAGGTATGTAACCCACAGGAGAAAACATGGAGATCATTAAGATCTCTGGCTTAGTAGAGAGCAGGACATACAGATAAAATCACAGAATTAAAAGCTGAATTTTGAAAAGGGTAAATCTACATATGGCTTCACTGAAACTGACATAACTGACGTAACAGAGTCAAATATGACCTAAAACAGCTTTAAAATTAAAAAAAAAAAAGAAAAATTCAGAAACTCATCTCCATTACATAAGATACTGACATTTGTACTGAATGTCACCCAAAATCTTTATAATTATTTTTTAAAGTATTTTATATATAAACACAGTGCAGCTTAATACCAAATCTGTGTTCATCTTTTCCATGACTGACCGGTTTACCCACTAGTATAGGTGAGGTGACTAGTAGCTGGTTCAAATAACTTGTATGTGTAATTGTATTTCCATGTACAAAATTTGTCTGTGGCATGAATACCTGAAGCAGCACTGAGACTCCAGTGTAGTCAAAGAAATTCAGTCCACTGCAGTCCAATATCAAAACATGACGCTCACTGTGACATGACTGCAATGACTCACCTACACATTTGATAAATGAGAAACTTTAATTAAAAGAGAGAATAGTCAAGAAATATGTATAAGAATAGTGTTAGTTCAACAAAATTAGCCCAAATTATCACAATAATTGTTTTTATCATTATGTACTGGGGTATCAGTAAAGAAAATGGCACATTTGAGAAGCACACATGAAAGATCTTCAGAATAATGAGATGTAGTGATGATAGGCAGATGATATTATTAGTGAGATGGCTTAAACAGGAATGGTCTCTCAAAGAAGAGAGTTTACATGGGATACACCAAGAATATATCTCTCTCTTAAATTCTGGCATGACATTAATTTCTGTATTACCTAATTGCTGCTTAACTAATACCCTCCTATAAGGAAGAAAAATATGCTAAGTGCAGTGTTTAGTTTTCCTAAGGTTTAACTGTGCTGGTTTTCTATCTGGATAATTTTTTACATACTACCACACATTGATGATGGAGAAAAAAAGATTTTGGTAAGATTTGCAAAGGTCTTATACGCATTCTTCAACCACAGGTCAGGCTTAAACACTCTGTACTAAATGCATCCTGAACTCACACATAGATAAATGATACCTGGCTTTCATAAAGGAAAAACTAGAAAATAATGTACATCTTATTTATATTACTCTTTGAACAAAAGTTATTTATCATAAAGCACAAAACAAAAAAAAAAGGATGAAGGAAAGGAATTCTGAATGTAAAGATGGGTTAAGCTAGGTGGTTTTGACAGAGCAGAGGAAAAGGTTTTAAACTCTTGAGGGGACTTAGAATTTCCCCATGGTGTAGATTTAAAATAGGACCAATTTCTTTCTGACAGTACTCTGAGGGCCAGAGACTTTTGAACTTGCACCTCCAGAGATTTACTGTTTTTGTACTGTCGAATATACATTATTAGATACATACCAAGTAAAAATACAGAATTACAAAGGAAACCGCCTGACATTACCGTGATGGAAACCAATAAAGGATTTATGAGATCTTCGAGGCTGCTTGCTATACTCTTTTTTCAGCTCCTCTGCCTCTGAAAATAAACAACTTTGTGTTTCTCCCTATTACTTACTCATGCTACCTGTGCTACAGCAAACTCAAGTTTGCTACAGGCCACCTGGCCAGGACGAGCAAGTGGATGAGGCCCTCTACAGACAGATAACAACTGCCTCACGTTCACACACCCTGGTCCTCATGGGGGACTTCAACCACCCCGATATCTGTTGGATGGACAACACAGCAAGGCACAAGAAAGCCAGGAGATTCCTGGAATGTGTCGATGACAACTTCCTTATCCAAGTGATAGAGGAGCCGACGAGGAGAGGTAACATGCTGGACCTTGTTCTCACCAACAGGGAGGGGCTGGTGGTGGATGTGAAGTTCAAGGGCAGCCTTGGCTGCAGTGACCATGAAATGGTGGAGTTCAAGATCCTTATGGAGGCTAGCAGCAAGCTCGCTACCCTGGATTTCAGGAGAGCAGATTTTAGCTTCTTCAGGGAACTGATTGGGAAGGGTCCTTG